CCCGCCGCTGCGGGCGCGGCGCCCACGGCGGGCGCGGCGCAGCCGGCGGGGGCCGCGCACCTAGACGGGCAGCAGCGCGTTGGCCCTGCGGCCGCGCAGGCCGCCGGCCGCGGCGGCGGCGTGCCTGCGCTGCCACCCGCCACCACGTGGCTGGGCGTCGCCGCGGCGGTCGCGACGACAGTGCCGCTGCCGCTGCTAGCGCTCGTGCTTGCGGCCGCGGTGCTCAACCTCGCGACCAAGGCGGCGCTCCTCATCAATGCCTGCCGCGCGGCCGGCGTGCCCGTGCTGCGCCACATGGCGCACGTGATGCGCATGCGCGGCGGGCTGCGCGTGCTGGGGCCCGTCGCTGACGAGGCGCTGCGCGTCATGGTGGAGCGCGATGACGACGCGGGCGGTGCGGGGGGCGGCGGGGCCGGCGGGGACGAGGCCGACAAGCTGGAAGGGGCCGGCCAGGATGGCGCCGCCGGCGCGGATGACGGTGGTGCGGCCAGCGATGATGGCGCCGGCGGCGATGGCGGGCGCAGTGGCGCAGGGCCCCGGCGGCGCGGCGGCGGCGCCGGGCTGCGCCTGCTGGTGAGCAGCGCGTGGCACTGGGGCTCCAGCCCCGACGGCCCGGACGCGTGGCTGCCGCTGGTGCCGCGCTACCTGCTGCCCACGGACGGCGGCTGGCTGGGGCCCGGCCAGATGGCGCGGCTGGCGGTGCTGGCCTTTGACCACTACGGCTGCGGCCCCGCCGCGCGGCCAGCCGGCGCCAAGGCCGACGCGCCCGCCAAGGCCGACGCGCCCGGCGGCGCGGGCGCCCCGGAGGGCGCCCTGGCGGTGGACTGCGGCGGCGCGGGCGCGTGCGCGGCCGCTGGCGGGTGCGGCGCGTGCAAGTGCGCCTGCGAGGGCCGCGGCCCTATCACTGGGCTGGAGCTGGAGCACCTAGAGGGCGGGGAGCTGCGGGTGGTGCTGGAGCGCGGCCTGGCGGCGCTGCCCCACGTGCGGCGGCTGCACCTCCGGTGGTGCCAGCTGGACGGCAGGTGGGGGCGGTGCGGGGTGCTGTTTAGGGGAGGGGCGAGGCGGGGAGCGACGCCGGTTGCTGCCAGCGCCGAACACGCTGTAGTGGCTTGCTCGCCGCTGCTCGCCGGTGGTGGCGCGGCGTCTTGTCAATCCCCAGCTTTCATACCTGCCGCGACCCCCGTCCCCCGCCGGCCGCAGGGCGCTGCGCCCCGTGCTGGGCACGCTGCGCCGCCACCCCTCCCTGGCGGCGTTGACCCTGGAGCGGTGCGAGGTGGACGACGCCGCTGCGCACATGATCAAGCACCTGCTGGCGGGCGGCAGCAGCAGCAGCAGCAGCAGCAGTAACAGCAGCAACGGCAGTGCGAGTGCGGCGCTGGACGGCAGCGACGGCGGCGCCGCCGCAGGCCCGGGCGAGCTGGTCTCGGGCCCTGCGACGGCCGCCGCGGCGAGCCCGCTGGACGCGCTGCGCCTCGTGCGTTGCAGCCTCAGCGGCGGCGCCGCGTCTGCACTGGCCGGCGCGCTGTCTGGTTCGCGCCGCCTGCGCACGTTTGTGTTCAGCGGCAACGCCATCGAGCCCAGCGCCGGCCGCGCGTCCGCCGCCGCCGCCTTTGCGCGCGCCGTGCGGCGCGGCGCGGGCGGGCTGCGGCACCTCACGCTCGGCTTCAGCCGCGGCTGCCCCATCACTGCGGAGGTGCTTGCCGGCGTAGTGGGCGATGGGGACGCGCCTGCGGGGCTGCGCCATGTTGTCGTGCACCGGCGGGAGGTGTCGCCCCGCGGCCTGCAGGCCTGGGCAGACGCGCTCTCCCGCGCCC